ACGACGTCGGCTACCCGCTCGAGAGAAAAGGGGAATCCTGCTTTCATTACTGCTTAACCCCACCAATATTGAGACCCGTAGCCCCCGGGGATAGGGTATTTAGTAACAATTATTCAGGCTTCAGGGCGATCTAGGGTTACATAGGTTTGATAATATGAAAAAATTCAATAATATGCAAATCTAATGCCAGTTAGATTTTTATTTGTTTGTGTTAATTAGGCATGCCAATTATTGCTGTGTAACTTGTAATCACTTTTTCGACCAGATGCTCATGCTCAGATTAATTATTGAGCTTCAAACCCAAATATGCGGTACGATGGAGTTGGAAGAAGTAGTGATGGTTAATAAAAACTTAGTATCACAAAGATCTCGTAAATATCTTTTTTTTCAGTGAATATTTCATTGGTTAAATCGAATAGCTTAGTAAATCCAATGTGCCATTAATCAATGACAGAAGAAAGCGATCCTGAATGCTCTCAAAGGCAAATATTATGTTAAGGCGAACAGTTTAAAAATTTCACATATTTTTTTTACTTTTTTTTAATCAAGATTAAAAATATATCATTTTAAATCATTTATCAGCATTTTATAAAATAAAATCTACTATCAGGAACTAATGAAGTCAATTAAAAGCGGAAAAAAACTGTTCAAGTTGGACGCCCTGGCTCCTCCTACAAGGAATTCATTTCTCGTATAGCGACATATTTTACATAAGAGCCTCTGTACATTTTCATCTTCATGCTCGCGTTACAAGGAAGTTTTAACGAACAATGAAACTCAAGTTTAGTCTTCAGAAATTTCTTTTGATTTTCCGTGTGTAATGTTCAGTGTCTATTTGAAACTTATTTTTTTCATTCAAAATAGTACAGTAAAAAACCGCCGTCGTATTAGGAGAAGCTTTTTGAAGATCACAAATTAAAATTCGAGTAACACACTTGATAAAATTTAAAAGCAAAGAAAATACCACAAAAATTCACCATATCTTTATAAGAGAAAACGTTTCGGAGTCCAGCTCCATCGTCAGTTCAAAACACAAAACTAATTGATTTATTTGTGTTTCTAGGACTGAACTTTTTCTGAACAGAATTTTGTGTTTTGAACTGACGATGGAGCTGGACTCCGAAACGTTTTCTCTTATAAAGATATGGTGAATTTTTGTGGTATTTTCTTTGCTTTTAAATTCCTGGTTAACTTGCGATTCAAGCAAACAAGCGATTTTAATACTTGATAAAATATTTTGTTTTGTCTTCTTTTTGTCTGGTTCTTTTGTTTGTCGCAAGCCTTAATTGCCACGAAAAATTTCTCTGTTCTGACACGATGATTATTATTTACAGCAACTAACTTCTCGCCAGGGCAATCAAGATAACTCAAAACTTTTTCGCTCGCTTCAGTAACTTTAACTACGATAAGCATAAATTTCGAAGTGGAATGATTATCAATATTCCTATTCAGAGATAAGAAGGAGGGAGACAAGTGCTAGGATTTGCTGATGGACCAAGCGATGGACTTGCTCTCCTATAGGGGGTAATATTTACTTAGGTAAAACTTTCTTCCTTTTACTAATTTACATATGCTAGAATAGCTGAAACATTTCCGACGCATCAGATAAATAGTTTGGCAGATGCCTAATTTGGTTGATCTTCATTATGTTTTTGGAATTTGTTCGTTTTTTTTAGGGATAGAATAAAATTTATTTATATTTCAAAGATACGAAATGTTTTCATGCAACAACTTGATCAAATAGTAACCTTAACATCGTTGTCCCAGTTTATTGTGAAGCTAAAAAAATAGGTCGGCAACAACCTCTTCATGACCACCTAAGGCAAAACAAAAGCCGTATAACTCTTGATTTTCCTCGTGTAAAAAAATTAGCGTATCATGCCTTGCGGCAAGATTTATTCGCAATTTATCCTGAAGGAGGATCCTCAGCTGAAGGATCTTTTCTGTTAAGTTTTTCTCCTGATCAGTGGTTTACTCGGTAAAGTTTGTCAGCGGCACCCGGAGTGTCCACTAAAGTTGTCCCAAGTCTCCTCAGGTGGGCGATCTGTCCGACAAATTTACTTGCCGGCCGCCCCGTTGGGGTCAGCCCAAAGCAAGGCTTTAAACGTGTGGTGCTTTTAAAGAATCGTTTTATTTTGCAACTAAATTACATCAGTAATGTGTTTCGTTCGTTTATAGTGCATGCGTATATTTAGGGTAGAGCCTAAAATTTGACAAGTTTGGCTAAAAAGAATGACATTATATGTGTGCATTGCCATGACTTGCATCCATCATTGCACACATGTCCAAAAATTACCCATAAGAATGCACGTTTTTGAGTCGTAACAAATTTTCCTTCGTAGGATATCGGATGTTAGACAGGCTAAGGATATTCCGTCAGACGCATTATACGCACGCTATCATGACTTTCATGACCCAGGGCAACAAAAACCCGTGTGTATGAGACCAAACTCTGTGTTGATTGCATGCCCTACTTGAGATAGAATTTACACGTGATTCTGCACTGTCTTCAAAGCTAGCCTTTTTGGCGGCCAAACCTCATGATTCAGAACCAAACATTTTTTAACTTTCAATAAAAACAATTTATTTCAATAGTATATTATTGTAAATTCAACAAAACTCGGAATATTTTTGCCCACCAACTCACTTTGCTGCCAGTGCGTGAATACTCGGCTATTGAATTCAGGAGTAGGTCTCAAGTTCAAAGCGAAATATATAGCGCTGGCTCGAATGGCGACAGAGATCAAGCAAGCTTAAACCGGTGAATACACCAGCTATTATCTGGACATTGGACAACGAAGGCATGAAAGTTCAGTATACCTATCCAACTCCCCAACCACGAATTTCGTGCCATGAAACAGTTGCGACAGTGCGCATGGTAACATAGTAGCGGTGCGCATGGTAACAATTAATCCAACATGCATGCAGTCGCAACCCAAGACAAACGTAGAGTCTGTTGTCAGCGCTGCGACTGCGTTTGCAATTCAAGACAATCGAGAACAAACGCCTGTCGATAGAAGATCTGTTATCGACAGCAACTTGAGGGACCTGCGTGCGTCCAGATAGCGTGGCTATAACGGATCAATTTGTCACCGTTTGTTCCCGATATCTTATGAGATGGGATTATCTCTCCGGATCTTGAATTGAGGCACGGAATTAGCTCTTCGTTGCATTTTGACGAGAATAGTTAAGAGAAGTTAAATGTTTTTTGTTGATGAGCAGCTAAAATGAAATATTATGGCATAACTATTATTGTGTCAACTTTGTTTTATAAATGATGGTTGCATTAAGATTTCACTAGAGGATGATGGCTGAAACTTTTGCTGGGAGAAACAATCTCCTCCATATTTGGGCGTGAATATTGAACGGATTCGATTTATTTCCGAATTGCTTCAGCGCCCTTTAAAGTTTATAAGAAAATTCGATCAAACACGAATTCTGTACTCGCATAAAACGGAGGAGTTCGATTGCGCACGATGATTACTTAAAGGAACTCTCATTTCGAAGCACAACAACTCAAACGACCGCTGCATTGCTTTTTAAATGCATGCTAGTTAAGTTTAACGCAAGTTTTAAATGAAAACTACGTCTCTAGTAGAATAGATTGATATTCTTTTCTATTTAACCAAGATGGTGAGTGATGTATAATATATTCCATGAGCATTCATCACTAAGATTTTTCACGTCAATAGATTTTTCACGTCAATATTAACGATCATCTCATTTGGGCTGAATACAAATTCATTACAAGTGTTGAAAATTTTCTACGGGAATTATGAGAAAAATCGGTGTATTTCTATAGACTAATCGGGCGGCTAACTTTGCAGTGCGTATGTCAGATCAAGAAGTGCGTGTGTCAGATCAAGAAGTGCGTGTGTCAGATCAAGAAGTGCGTGTGTCAGATCAAGAAGTGCGTGTGTCAGATCAAGAAGTGCGTGTGTCAGATCATCTCGCAAGAAAACTTCCTCAGTTTTCTTCATACGCAGCTAATGCGCTTAATGGACTGAGCGTCAAATTGGGCTCAGAGTCTCCATCAAATTTGGCCTCTCAACTTTCCCGATGAACGGTACACAGCCCGAGGCTCTCCAAGCCTGCGAGTGCGCTCGGCTTACGGGAATAAATTTCAAAATGCGTATCGGCAGTTATTGATTGGCTTTAATTCCAACAATGGTGGCTTATGATCAGGCCAATCATTGTGGTCTCGGGGTCGGGGAAGGGTTTGCGTGCAAGAGAAAACAAATGCAAAAGCGAACATAAAAGGGAGGATAAACTTCATAACACAAAGTTATTGCACGGGAAAGATTACAAAATCGGAAAATTTGAGCACTCGTATTAAGTTTTTGTTTTTCTATTGGTAAAAATGAAAAATTTGGACTGATAACTGGCATAGTTAAAAAATATTAATAGTGGTAAGAGTACTTACACATCTGGGTAAAATGAATGAAATTTTTGTAACATATGTGCATTTTTAGGCTCTAGACTGTTGTCAATTGGTTATCAAGTCACGAGAACGATGCCTTCAAAAGCCCTTGTTAATTTTTGACATCCCATATATCCAAGGATCTAGAATCTAGATCAAGGATCAAGCGGGAATCGAAAATCGAGTGTAGGATACCAAGCTAAACAAGATTTAGGCTTCATCATTTGAGTCTGTTTGATCTTGCGTAAACGAAACTAACAGATATTTTTGTCCTTTTTTTGAGGTTAGGTTTTGTATGTTCATATTTTACTGAATTATCATAAAATTTAGGTCTATATTTAGCATACTTAATCATGTAAAGTAACAAACGGGGAAAATAACTTATGTGTTATCAAGTGCACTATAATTAATCACCCCAGAAATGAAGAGCAAGAGATTAAATTCACATAAATTAACGATAGATTCGAAGATAAATATATATGAATGCGAGACACCTGCAAGCAATTAGGCTATTAACTAGCTTAATTGCTTTATTTATAACACTAATATTTAATAATGTTATTAACCCTCAATAAGTTACCTTGGAGATGACAGCAGAGGCCGGGATGGGCAGATGTTCGGACGTGTTGTTAAATGTCCACCTGAAGACCACAGGTCCAGGGTTCGCCTCGAGCTCGCACGTGACACTAGCGGGCTCGTGCAGGGCGGTGCCGTACACAAGCTTGCTCTGCCGCTTGCAGTACGGACCGTCTGGTCACACAAATATAAAACCATGAGATAAATTTAATAAATTCATAAATTTAAATAATGAATAACGCACAAACTATGTTAGCGTTGTATTTTTAGTTGGCACGATTAAAAGCCTGTCTGCATTATTCGTGTGAGATTTTAATGTAGTGTGTCATGGTCAAAAAAGTTTTCTTCGAGCTTTGAGTCTACTGAGACACGTCATTTTATAGGACGGTAACATAAAATAAAAAGAAACTAACATGGAAAGGACTAGTCAAAGAACTATATCTATTTATTGTAAGCCTGTTTTTTGGAAGTTCTAAACTGGAATAAAAACTAAGTGTTTGGTGCCCATTTTTCTCCATTCTTGCTTCAATGCAGCAGCAATTTATGGCAGGGTTAGCAGTTAGGCCGGTCGGGGTACAGGGCCGGTAGCACAGATGAGCGCTTGTTGAGCCAGCCAAGCACAGAATAATTGCCAACAAATTGGCCAGCTGAAGCAGCGAGTTGGAGGGAGCTGGCGCTACTGGTCCACAATCGCGTTATCATCGGGGTAGTGGTGTGCAAATGGAGTTATCATCGGGGTGTAGGAGCTGTCTCTTATACACATCTAGATGTGTATAAGAGACAGNAGTGTGCAAATGGAGTTATCATCGGGGTGTAGTAGCGTGCAAATGGAGGTATCATCGGGGTGTAGTAGTGTGCAAATGGAGTTATCATCGGGGTGAAGTAGTGTGGAAATGAAGTTATCATCGGGTGTAGTAGTTTGCAAATGGAGTTATCATTGGAGTGTAGTCGCTTTTGAATGGAAATTAAATGAGTACCGTTGAATAAAGTTATATAATGACTTGCATCTGCAAAAGATGCGCAACCAATTAATTCTTCACATTTTTTTTAGCTCAAAAAAGATCCACAAATCGTAAATTTTTTAGACGTATCAGTAAATTGTTCGATAATCCATCCATCCCAACGGGTCAAACAGATTGCGTTCCAAATCACATAAAAAAGGTGAAGATGTAAAAAATGAATAAAATTAACTCTGCATGCCTTTTTTCGGGAAAACTCCGGGAAAAGTTCAAGCCACTCCAAATTACATATGTTTACTACGAAAGACAGTGGGGCAACAGAGGAGTTTTCAGAGTATAGCATAATTTCAAAGCAGCTCTACTTTGAGTAATGCAAATTCATTGTATGACAACTTACATAGACTCAAAGGCAATCAAAGCATCTCATGCTGAGAACAAAACTAAAAACCCACGACAAAACTGCATATAGAACACCTCAAGATTAAGGAACATCTTTCATACAAAAACTCCTTATGTAAAAAATAATCTATAAATAATTCTATTTATCTCACACAGCACATTGAGTCGGACAGGCTGGCTCTCCCCCGCGCCCTCGCTGTTGGCAGCCCTGCATGTGTAGAGTCCCGCGTCGTCTTTACTGACTTTCTGCAGCACGAGCGTCTGGTTCTGCTCGATGATCCCGCGCCCAACCTCGTGTGTGATGGGACTTCCCTGTCACACGAACACGGTAATTATGTAAACTTATTAATGATGTTCACGAAATATTTTAAATATTACTTTAAAATATATATTTTACATCTAAAAGTAATTATATTTTAAATCTAACAGTAATTATATTTTAAATCTAACAGAAATTTAAATATTTAAATATTTTAAATCCAATAGTAACTTTACGACCTCTTGCTAATAGTCGACCTTGGTGAAACAACATTATTTTAATTTGAATTCATGAATTTTTACTGCTCGGCTTGACGGTAAATTTGAATAAATATGTTGTTCCAATACAGGCGCTATTATTTATGTATTATATTATCTATTAGCTTCAAGTAGTGTAAGTAGCAAATATGTGAAAACTATTTAGATAAGTTTCAATTCGTGACAACCATCCCGAGTACATCGTCGGTACATCCGATCATCCAATAAATTTTCATGCAATTCGATCAGCCAGTATATAAATCGATGTTATAACCATTTAAAATGGCTCAACGCAGCATAAAAGAAAACTATTTGATAAAATTTCAATAAGGAAACAAATCTTTACATACAAAGCAACGTTCGACCGTAACTTCTTTAGGAAATTTTTGCTAGGGTCTCTCGAAAATTTCGACTGTTTTCCATTTTTGGCGGATCCATGAGCTTCTCGAAGTGAAAAGTCCGAGCTTCTCGACACACTGGTGCTCAAAAATATTTTGCCAATGATGCTACAGTCGAGCGCTTCGGAATAAATTGGGCAAGAAGTGAATTCGAAAGGAAGCTTGGCAAAATATTTCCTTGCAAGGAAGCTGCAGGAGACGAGTTTCCTGCGCAACAATAAACCTGCAATGCGTTTGGGCCGAAAGCAAATTTCCAAATCGTGTGTGAGTTTGTTGCCAATTGGCGTAATATTCACTGCGCAGTGTGTGAATGTACAATGTCGTAAGTATGGTGTGCATGTACATTTTGCAGACAAAATTATTGATCATAATGCATGAGATAGTTATAGTAAAATAATGTTTTTATTTTTGTGCTTGCAATCTGGACGGGTAAAAAACTTTTTTTTACACTATTTTCCCTTTATAAGGCACTCTTTCATTAGATGGATTAAACTTTCGAAAATTAAAATTTATTATCGCCGTGTAACTTCGATCAACAGGCTATAAAAAACATTGATATTTTCATAGTTTTTTTCGAACTGCAATTCGAAAACAAAAAAATTAAAATATTCTTTCAGAAGAAAACGTCGGAAATGGTGAGGGCGGACATGCAGAATCAACTGAGAAGTCAGGGCACACACGCTACAAAAATCATTCGTGTCTGAAATTTCGTCCGGAGAGCGAGAAATTTTTCTTGAGATTCCCTGGCGCGTCTGGAGCCATAAAAGCTTGCATTCAGTGTCCTGTCACCAACCCAACCCCTACACGAGTTGCCTTTAGCCTCCAGTCACCAATGAACCCCTACACGAGTTGCCTTTAGCCTCCAGTCACCAATCCAACCCCTACACGAGTTGCCTTTAGCCTCCAGTCACCAATGAACCCCTACACGAGTTGCCTTTAGCCTCCAGTCACCAATACAACCTCTACACGAGTTGTCTTTAGCCTCCAATCACCAATGAACCCCTACACGAGTTGCCTTTAGCCTCCAGTCACCAATCCAACCCCTGAGCGAGTTGCCTTTAGCCTCCTGCTTCCAATACAACCCCTGCGCGAGTTGTCTTTAGCCTCCTGCCTCCAATACGCGATTTGCCTTTAGCCTCCTGCCTCCAATACAACCCCTGCGCGAGTTGCCTTTAGCCTCCTGCCTCCAATACGCGTGTTGGCTTTAGCCTCCTGCTACCGATTCAAACCCTATGCCAGTTGCCCTGAGGCTCCAGTCACTAATACAATATGTGTTCCAACTGTTTATTTCCTGTGAATACGTTTGCCCTGCAACATAATAACGGCATATTATTATGTTATACAATAAAATCCAAAACAATACGAGTGACATAAAGTGTTGGTGCAGGCCTCACTGCAGTCGTGTTTGAAGGCAACTCAACATATCAAGGAGCGTTTATAGCGAGACAGGCTCAGGACTTAGCCCCCGGCATTATTCACTAACTCGCTCGCCACGTTCGTGGTCTAAGCCAACTCCATCCCTCTTTCATCCGGGCACTTAGCCCTTATTTTTTATTCAAGGGAGTTGCCAGACCCGAGGGTCATACAAGGAAAAGCTTGTGGATGCCACAGCGCTGGATATGCAGGTCGTCGTGATAAGAAAACTTCTTTATCCTTTCAGTAGCACACACAATGAGGCTTGTGCCTTGGGGTCGGCAATCATGGTAGAAATCTCAATTATATTCATATACTTGAGGGATATGAATAAGATTATTTATCAATAACGAGCAATCATTGGGTATAGACTAGAAGTGATGTGGCTAATGGTCAGAATCTCGTTTTTTATGCTCAGGTTTTCACTGAATTTATATTTGACTTAAGTCGCAATTCCAGAGCTATTTAGTTTCAACATATCTAATTTGAATAATTTTTCTCGGCCTTTCGAGGATCAAAAGCTTATGCATAGTTATTACAGCAAAATAAAAGAAGACAGGTACGTGCATGAATCCTACGAACCCAAATAAAATTTTTTTAAAAAGTCTCAAATAAGAATGCGAAAATTTCGCGATGAACGATAAAATACCAATATATTCCACCACGACAAAATTTTATATATTTTTGAACGGGAATTTCTCAAAGGAATGCACTGAATACTCCCCAAGAATAGAAGTACAAAAATACCAAAAGTTTCAATGGAAAGCCTTGAGCATGTGGTGTAAGTGTAAAATTATAGACTGTGTGGGAGGAATTATATATTTTTCAATGGGAGTTTTTCAATGGAATGCACTGAATACTCCACAAGTATAGAAGAAAAATAAATACGAAAAGTTTCAATGGAAAGCTTTGAACACGTGGTGTAATTATAGACTGTGTGGGTGGAAGTTTTGCCGAGGCGATATCGAGGCGCGGGATGAGCTGGGCGAGTCGCGCAGAGCAGCGCTGACACGACAGCCAAACCCGCCGGATTTGGGACACCGGCGTGATAAGAATGGTGATGTGGTGCGTGATGGTGGTGGTGGTGTGCACGTGGGGTGGTGGTATTTTGTAGTTGGCGGTGTGGAGGTAATGTTGGTGTGATGATGGAGGTGGTGGTGTGCACGTAGGGTGGTGGTATTTTGTAGGTGGTGGTGTGTTGGTAGTCATGGTAGGATGATGAAGATGGTGGTGGTGGTTTGGTGACTGAGATAGTCGTTGTAACGCATGAGATAGCGTTACAACTCACGTTGCTGTACCACATGACGCGGTGCACCTCAGCGTTACAACTCACGTTGCTGTACCACATGACGCGGTGCACCTCAGCGTTACAACTCACGTTGCTGTACCACATGACGCGGTACACCTCAGCGTTACAACTCACGTTGCTGTACCACATGACGCGGTGCACCTCTGGGTTCGCGTTGATGTGACACTCGAAGTAAACGTCGTCGCCTTCCTTGATGTTGTCGGGGTCGAGTTTACTGCCCATCTGCAGGGTCACCACGGGCTTGTCTGCACGAGTCAAATTATGAAGAACAATTATTAACTTCGTAAGTATCACCATCATTTAATTATTTATTTATTTTTTGAGATCATAACACTGCAGTTGTTGATGTCATTAGCTTATGGCACCAAACACAGAAGCCACAAGAAAATTTGAATGGAATCCTATTTGTCGTAGACCAAAGTTATTCGTCATTTAAAAATTTATTTTTGTTATGAAATGTTCTATCTTTTTAAACTATATGCAATAGGAATGACTCAAACATTACGAACAACGATGTAGGTTATTTGAATAGGGAACATGAAATGCTTCTGCCTCACTTTCCCTTTCGATGCGAATATGATGTACACCCGCTGGTATGATGTACTTTGTCCATATCCGTTTGAATAAATGTTATTTTGAGCTCCTGCTCTTTTGCACAGCCAAACACGAGTTTGCGATTTTGTAAGCTCACGCCACGATGAATGATCAGTTTGAATTCCACCTACTTAGCATTTCCAAAGTTGGGTATGAGTCTATTCTACTCTGCACAGTCAGATATAGTAATATGACTCAGTTCCCTCACAAAGAATGTTGAGTTTGAGTCCCTCCTACTCAGCACAGTCAGGTATTGCCATATGACTCAGTTCCCTCACAAAGAATGTTGAGTTTGAATCCCTCCTACTCAGTACAGTCAGATATAGTCATTTGACTCAGTTCCCTCACAAAGAATGTTGAGTTTGAATCCTTCCTACTCAGCGGTCAGATATAGTCGTATGACTCAGTTCCTCACAAAGAATGTTGAGTTTGAGTCTATCCTACTCAGCACAGTCAGATATAGTCGTATGACTCAGTTCCCTTACAAAGAATGTTTAGTTTGAGTCCCTCCTACTCAGCACAGTCAGATATAGTCGTATGACACAGTTCCTCACAAAGAATGTTGAGTTTGAGTCCCTCCTACTCAGCACAGTCAGATATAGTCGTATAACTCAGTTCCCTTACAAAGAATGTTTAGTTTGAGCCCCTCCTACTCAGCACAGTCAGATATAGTCGTATGACTCAGTTCCTCACAAAGAATGTTGAGTTTGAGTCCCTCCTCTTTAGCGCTGCCGGGTATGAGGGAGTTCTCAGCCCGACATGTGAGGTACTTCTGGTTGTCAGACATGGCGGCCACGTACTGCAGGATGGACGTCGTCACGTTGTTGTCAGGGGTGATCTGGACACAAATTCAATTATCATTATCCGTGGAAATGGAATTAATGGAGAGAATTTTGTAATGTTGAAACCGTATGGCCTACACTAAAATACTGTAGGAGCAGACGATTATTTTTCTATCACAGTCTAATTGTTTCATTAATGCGAAATCATCCTGATTTGCACTAAAGTCATAAGACCTTGTATCAGTATTGCTGAAAAATATATGTTACACATTTTGCAGATGTGCAAATGAGAATAATTTGTCTTGCTGGTGTAAAGGAATAAATTCGCAATTTTTATTGAGCACGAATAAATTAAAGTCGCGTTTGAAACTAAATGAAGCAAAGCTAGTGATCACAATTGAACTTTTTTACGCCCGGTGCACGATTGGATCGCTCGGTCACACCGATAACAAACGCATGGATGCGATGCAAAGAAGTAGGTGCACGCAAGGGGATTTTCTGCCCTGAACTCGGAGCCATCGGCAGCAGCCTTTGCATTCTTTATGAGCTTCGCCGCAATCTCGAAATTCTGCTCAAAATAGCAAGCTGTTCTCTTTGAGTTGCGGGGATGAGCCGGAGGATCAACTGCGTTGGTATTGCCATTATTGCAAGTAAAATGTTATAAAAGTGGTTTGATAATCAGGACTGCAAGATCATACACGGCTGCTACAGGATGAATTTTGGTTGTTCTGATAAATTTCACTTGATCGCGATAGCACATTTTTATTTCTAGAGCTGTAGCGAGTTTGCATTCCTTACGAAATTTTCTCACAACCTCTGTACTAATAAAATGAATCATTATCGAAAAGTCGTGTCATCATTTGTATCCGTATCACGCTCAGGTATAAAATGCGTGGCTCTGATTGATACATATGATTGCTTTAGCCAGTATACAACGAAATTATATCGTTATTTACAGGCAATATCGTACCACGAAGCCAGCGGCCAGAACTACACTCCAGGTTGTACAGTAGTACAGTCCCGAGCAAAGCATTTCCCCAGTCTGTTCCTCGGTCCCTTGCACGACCGGTCTACCTGAACCTCCTAATAATATAAAGGACCGGTGACCATAAACGAGAATAGCCAATGAAGGGCCTCGCTCTACCTCGGCTTACTTACTGCAGATGTTGCGGCCACTACAGTTCGGTCGTGAATAAGTAAGGATACGAGCGCCTACACATGTTTCTGATTCACGCATGAACTCGAGACGTCGCTCTATGATATCCTTGAGTGGTGCAGCTTAGCTTCTGTCGCTTGATATGTAAAATAACAGAATAGGAGTTAAGGAAAACTAACAAGACTTTTCTTGACAAGAATCTTCGTTGTCTGGTTAGAATTATTAACCATCGTCGCATTTCTTGTACAACTATTTAAAACATTATCATTTTATCTAATTTTATCTGAAGTATAATATGATTTGCTAAGCAGGAATAAATAATATTTCAGGTATCCCATTGTTAAATCATGAGAACTTTTAGAGGTAACAGAGGACGCCCTAACCAAAAAATAAAGATTTTGAGAAGTATAATAATACGACTGAAGGAACGTAGTAGGAACTGCGTAGGATTGCTACAAGGGCCCCCACAGCGGGGGCGACGCCCGTAAGCTGTGGCGACAACCGTCCTCGACACAATAAGGCTGGCAATATTTATCGGGCAATAATCATGGCAGTCCTCATAATTATCGGTAACTGCTGCAATTATCGAGTCGCGCCTTGCCGCACGGTGCTTCAGGAAACTCTTTCTCGTCTATTTGGTCTTGTTTTAGTTATATTACAACGTTTCTTGAACTTTCGGTACTGTTATTTCTGCTCCGCCTCGCAAATCTATAGACCTAAGGCTATATCACCATAAAAAAATTCTTTGCATATCGAGAAACGCTTCCTTGTCTTTGACATGGCCCTAATTCTCAGTTCATCGCTTACTTTTTAGACACGTTGTAATTTTTGCTCGAATCAGTTTCTTAAACGTGGACAGTGATAAATAAATATTTATTACATAAAATCTTCGGTAGTTTTGACAGTAACTTTTGTACGCTAGACATTTTTGGTTTTGCTACTACTCTGCCGTTCAGTATGCCGCTACTCTGCAGGAGAGTATGCCGCTAATCTGTAGGCGAGTATGCCACTACTTTGCAGAGGTGGGCAGTAGCGCTCTACATGTAGCGGCCGCTACATTTTCAGTAGCGGTAGCGGTAGCGGCACTACATTTAAGCAATTGTAGCGGTAGCGGTAGCGCCCGCTACATTTAGAGCATGTAGCGGGAGCGGTAGCGGCTGCTACATTTCAAAGTAGCGCTGCCTAGCTCTGTTACTCTGTAGGAGAGTATGCCACTACTCTGCAGGCGAGTATGCCACTACTCTGCAGACGAGTATGCCACTACTCTGCAGGAGAGTATGCCACTACTCTGCAGACGAGTATGCCACTACTCTGCAGGCGAGTATGCCACTACTCTGCAGATGGTCCGATAATCAATGGTTTGATGCATCGCCCTCCCGTGATGGCCTTCGAGAAGGAATTTCCACAGCTCAAGCGAGACACGTTTCACGTTTTTCGTCGATGTCTAACTGTTCAAGTTGCTCATTCGGTTGTTGGAATTTTAGTGGAATTTGTTCCACTAGATTTGAGTAAAATAATCTTCACTTCTACGGATATGGAACTGAATTTATTAGAATCGTTTTAAATTAGATAGCTTTAGAATTTTCTTACTATGAACAACGATAGAAGAGTTGAGAAAAAGAGCTTTAGAAAAGCCTACGCCGCTGAATTGAACAACATCGAAAGATTGTTGTTTATTAGCGATCGATATTGCAAGCCACCTATAGTCCATAAACAACATGGGTCAGACTAAACCCTCTCATTTTAGAGATGGTATTTCCAGAGCTTATTTTCAGAGGATATTTTCTAAAGAGAGGCGACGGGGTCTCTAAAGATTCGCCAACTTTGACCATCCATTCGTCAAAGGGAGGTCGCAAAAAACCCTCTGAACTTAGCGCACCAGAAAATATGGCGCTGTGTGACCCAATGAGAAACAGGACGCTCTCCCTAATTACCTACGAGTATTCAGCTCATCGCCGGAAAAATGCAGAGTAATTGACGTCTTTTGCGGACGACGGATTTTCCGGGTCCGTCCTGTGGAGATTAAATCCGTCCACTCCTTGACACGAAAGTTCGAAGTTGTGCGCAAGTCAATGCAGAATAAACGATTCGTGTAGAGCAAGTTTGAGAATTGAAAAAAATTTCCTGTATCATCAAAAATTGCTACAACAACAAGGTCTGTTAATCCTTACAATTGTGTTCGTTAAATAACTCGATTATACAATAGGGAGGCTTTTCCTGGAAGGCGGAATGGTGGAAGGCGAAATTTTTGATAGCCTAGTATAATGAACATACGTTTGCTCTCTATACCAGTTTGATATCGGTAAACTGGTATTAATGACGTCCAAGATCCAGGTCTCGGGGACCACGTCAAGTCGCTAGGAATAATTAATGTTAAAATTAGGTCAGGATTGTTGTATTGTATCTGTGGGACGGGTCCTGCTTGCTGATGGTCTGATGTCAGTATACTGACTAATTAGACATAATTCTTTCTTCGTCCATACTCATTTAATATAAGGGCGTTAAGAAACTGATGATCTGATGACTCTGTATGCATAATAATCAATATCTGTCAATCAATTTAAAATCCTAATTAATAATCCAACGACGGAGAGCTGCTTGACCACCACTGATTATCTAGCCAATGAGCACCGGCCGCAAAAAGTGAAAATTTAATGAATAAATTTTTACCCTCAAAGTTTTTTAATAAATTATATTATGTTTTTATTTACAGTCAGGCCATTTATTAGACCACCTACTTTTTAGCGTCATGGGCCGCAGGTTTTACAGCCGTAAGTATCTTTTATGGAAGCTGAAGTTCAAAAAGGGTTCCTTACAAATAGTTCAATTTCCTCGTTGAACTTTGATGCGTAAAGTATTACTAAGTACCAATAGAGAGACAAGACAATCTACCAAAGTTTGAATGACATCACTTGACTGCGAATGTTCTATCATGGCGGCTCATGGGAGAATGTTTATCATTGATAACTTCGAACTCGTTATGTTTATAGGCTGCCATGTTGTATTGAAGCTCGCGCCTTATTACCAGATTTTCTTTTACCCCCTACTTTTAGGTAGAAGGTGTAGAGTGTAATTATCTGTATTATTATTATTTGTATTCAGAGTGAGTGTTATTATAGGTGTTACCATAAATGTTACACTCAGTGTCAACCAGAATGTTTTATTCAGCACATATCAACTCACGGAAAGTTTAGCGTCGGTGAGCTGTTTGGTGCCGCCCTTCCACCAGGAGATGACGGCGGCAGGCCGCGCGCCCCAGGCTTGACACACGAGCTCGTACGCTCCCCCGCTGCTCAGTGATGACTCACCGCTCACGATGCTCACGTTAACAGGCTCGACTGAACAACATTTAACGAAGAATTAGTATGTTACTATGTTATTATGTTCTTCTTTTGAGTTCGACTGAACACCATTTAAACAATAATTAGTATGTTACTATGTTATTATGTTCATCTTTTGAGTTCGACTGAACAACATTTAAATGATAATTAGTAGGTTATTATGTTATTATGTTCACTTTTTTGAGTTCGACTGAACAACATTTAAAGAAGAATTAGTAGGTTATTATGTTATTATGTTCATTTTTTGAGCTCGACTGAACAACATTTAACGAAGAATTAGTAGGTTATTATGTTATTATATTCATTTTTTGAGTTCGACTGAACACCATTTAAAGAAGAATTAGTATCTTATTATGTTATTATGTTCATTTTTTAAGTTCGACTGAACACCATTTAAAGAAGAACTAGTATGTTACCATGTTATTATGTTCATCTTTTGAGTTCGACTGAGCACTATTAAAAGAAGAATTAAAATGCTATTATGTTCATTTTTTGAGTCATGTTAAGTAATCTTGCATTAAAAATTCTTATGAATATGAACTATTTCGGGTTCATATGACGAAGTAGTTCATTCGTTTACGTTAGTTTACAGTTTAGATTTATCATGAGCTTCAATTCAATCAAAGATTTTCTTGACTACATGAAATCTAAATTCAATGCGACATTCATCTATTTTGTGATTGACATTTGTTTAACTAGAGATAAAATCCTTATTGTTTGCCATCATGATGAGCATGTCAGCAAGTAAGGTAAACTATTACTTTTTACACATTTATTGCTTCGTTTAATTATGCTTTATTATACCCGACACGAAAAAATACTTACAGTTTGGCGCATTTACTGAGCCCGAACTTATTACATGATTAATCAAATAAGATCACGAATCAATATTACATCGAATAAAACAAGTTCCTTGCGTGCACGCATTTGCGATCTTCAATTACTTGGTCTAATCAATATAAATAAATGTCTGAATTCGTTATAATTTATTTATTGATTAATTCCAAATATTTAATTTGAAAAACTAATGTAATAAATGTAATTTCATGATTTGCTTCACTTCTTCATGGTGGGTAAGACATAATTATTGATTTTTTCATCAATGCAGTCTTCTTGGAATCATATATGTAAGAAATAATTTTTTCCCTCGTTATACAGTTTTCCAGCGTACATACACATTGAACTCCTGTGGAACTTCACTACATGAACTCCCTTATGAAATTGAGAGCAATTTTGCGTGCTATGGAGGTGGTATTGAAATGACCTTATTGGTTCGACTTTTAAAAAAAATTTGAAATGCCCGCCAATGTTCTAAGTGAATGTTGCTTTGACTGAGCATCGAGTGCTGTAAACCTAAAATGAACTACCATGACACTGTTATTGAATATCATGGCATATCACGGATAAAATGTCCGACATAATTCTGATCATGGAATGCACTCTGAATTTCTTCAGGATCTGGTACAGCTCACAGAAACTGCCTGCAAGGTTACACGATTATCAAACATGCATTTATTCTGATGGAATTAAGAACGGCAGACGGAACATGACGACTGCAGCTTCTGCTACAGCTTTATTCATGTAGCTTTGTGGAGCACGCATGAATATTCAGCCGTCCGCAGCCACACAGACAAACAATTTCTGCGAAACTTCACACGAAGCCGACATGGTGAAAAATATTGCTGGAGCTATGCACCGCGAATTTAAATATGGAAGAGCACCTACAGTTAACGTTGCGTTGCATTGACAAATAAAAGAAAAATTTTAAGGATATTTGGACCCAAGATGCGAACAATAATAAAAATCCTTCATCTTCTATGTTTTTGGTTTAAAGTCTTTTAAGGAGTTTCTAAGATTGAATCCAATCGAAGAAGTTTACGGTATGAGTGTAATTAATTCGGAATTCAAAGTATTGAAATATTATAACGAAAAAATCTATTTAGAAACCAGTGCCTGCATCAGTAGCTAAAATTGGTTATGAAAGTCAATTGATATGTGTTTTCTTTGCTATTAAGTTTTTAGTGAATTTGCGATTCAAGCAAACGAGTGATATTATTACTTATATGTGAATTTTTAAAAGCATAGGTTTAAGAAGGCATGCTAGCGTTGAATCAATTATTTTATCGCACGAAAGTAATGATTACTGATGATCTTCGTCTACTGGAGGCTCTAAACATATCCTGCAAATACTGCATGAGTTAAGATATCAGGTCATTGTGACTGTTAATAATTAGTGTAAAAATTAGATTTCCGCAATCAATACATTATTTGGAAACATGGAGTTTGTTTTAACAATACATTTTTCTACTCATTTTCTATTCTATTAATTAATTGTTATATATTTATAATAGTTTCATTATTATTAATGATAGGACAGACAAATTGAATCATAATGTCACGGTTAGAATAAAAGGGAATAAAGTAAGATAATTTTGTTTCAAATTTTTACCAATTCCTTTTGATTCTGCTCTTCGTAAATGAATCGCTCGAGCCCCTGGTTATTTTGAACCAGAGTTCAACTTGTGAACAGTGAATCAGTCTTCTATTTAGCTCGTTTTCTCATTAATGAAAAAAAGGTGCTATTGTGCTCGTCATGTCCGTCGTTTGTCTGTCTGTCCGTCCGTGACTTCACGTTTTCGTCGACGAGAAAATGCGCTCTCTGTCACTCACTGCAGTGAGTACTATTTACATTTTTTTAATATTTAAACAATGGAAACATCGCATCAATTTGGTTAAATATCACGAACCGAAGAAAATGCATAATGTGAAAAATTGTCCTGAAAAGCAGGCGGATCGAAGGTACAGGGACTAGGACGGTCTGAATGAGGAGCCGCTTATGAGGTGAACGTATCGGGAAATACAAATTGAGGGTAGAGAGGGAAAAATTGACTTAGAGATACTAAGGAATTTTTAGATTTAAATCAATAAAAATTTAATACAAAATTATATTAATAAAAATTTAGTACAAAATACAATTCATTTTAATTAGTTTATTGATAAATGCCAAATATATAATTTGAATAACTAATGTAATAAATTTAATTACATGATTTGCTTCACTTCTTCAAGGTGGGTCAGACATAATTATTGATTTTTTCATCAATGCAGTCTTCGTGGAATCGTGCATGACTCGACACTCGACAGCAGACAGCTTTGGTTGTTAAATATTTTCGAGTAAAGTTTTTCAGAGCAATGAAAAGCAAATTATTTCACGAAGGATGTTTTATCATACGAACATGCACGCAGTGACAGCACCCAACCTATAAGACGGTACTCAATGAGCGTGGCCTGCGACTGCTTCAGCCAACGTTACCGACTCACAGTTCATGTCGAGCGTGACGGCCGTGGAGAGCGGTAAGGAGTTGTCGGAGTTGGAGGCCTGGCACTCCAGCACCGAGTGCAGGTGATCCCTGGTCAGGTTGGGGAGCAGGAGTGAGCTCTTCACCACGTCCCCAGGCAGGTGTGTGATCTTCCCCTCAACCTCCACGTCGTCGATAAGCCAGCGCACCGTCGGCAGGGGCCGACCTGGATGGGGAATTCAAGATCCCAGTCGTGAAAGATGAAGATTGTTCCTGAATAATGTTGGGTATAATGAAAATAGAAAGGAAAAGAAGATATGAAAATCATGAATAATTTTAATGAGGTCGTGTATAATGCGATGAGTGTGACCGAAAATGAAAGAAATTCGACTTCAGAACAGTATCGTCGAAATACATCATTAACTTCGAGCAACAGGCTCAGAATCTGCAGTATCTGCTGCCTATGACAGAAGATCAAAATGATGCATGATAAAACATCCGATATAACAAAGTTGAAACGTGAGCACCAATACCAAGCCTCATCAGCACGGACTGCACGCGACACATATAGCAGCAAGAATCCGATCCAGATGTAGCACCGAAATTTTGGTAGCTCCATCATTGTAAGGTGATGCAAACGGCAGCGTCGCAGAGTAAACGGTCGCGTCGCAGTGTAAACGGTTGCGTTGCAGTGTAAACGGTCCCGTCGCAGTGTAAACGGTAGCGTCGCAGTGTAAACGGTCGCATCGCAGTGTAAACGGTAGCGTCGCAGTGTAAACGGTCGCGTCGCAGTGTAAACGGCAGCGTCGCAATGTAAACGGTAGCGTTGCAGTGTAAACGGTAGCGTCACAGTGTAAACGGTAGCGTTGCAGTGTAAACGGCCGAGTCGCAGTGTAAGCGGTCGAGTTGCAGTGTAAACGGTAACGTTGCAGTGTAAACGGTAGCGTTGCAGTGTAAACGGTAGCGTTGCAGTGTAAACGGTTGCGTCGCAGTGTAAACGGTAACGTTGCAGTGTAAACTGCCGCGTCATAGTGACGTGAAATTGACGACGCCGCGTAATCGATTGGACGCCGCCGAAAGCCCGCACCGGAAGCCTCAATGGGTTCCGGATCCGCGGGCCGGACTGCTAAGATTGATAGAGTTATATTGGGGCGCGTGATGCCAATGACATTGAAGCAACTCCATTCATGCCATTAAAGAATCCTTGATACCGTCAGTTTATCGTGATGTACGAGTTAATTTTCCTCAAAATCTTTGTCTTGTAGACATTAATTTATCGGAGATGCATGAGAAATGCAATCACTGATGTATTGAGTAATATAGGGTCTGGATTGCATCTTATTTTTAAACAGCAGCAACTACTGTGAAAACATGAGATCGAAATGAAAACACAAAGTCACCCGTTTCTCGGCCATTGTTCAGTGCATATAGGAATCGATTGAAGAGTTTACAGTGGAGTTTGATTCGTGGACATCGTGCTTTATCCCAGTTTCTGAATAAATGTTTAAAAAATTAGAGCCTTGCCATCGAAGTGCAAAAAAAAACAGCTAGTGCCATGAGTGTACTTTCAACTTCTAAACGCGTTCGAGAAGTAAAGTGTTCATAAATATTTGCTAGAGAGGAATACATGGAGCTTCGGACGCACAAGATGACTTTGGAACAGTTATTCCGTCTGTAAGTTTGTCTGATTCAATATGCAGAACACGCGCGGAAGAGCACCGGTATAAAGCACATGCGATTGAAAAATTCTATCTTGCATAACTTGGTGGTACTTGCCTTGCATTTCACTAAAACGATTGGTTTGAATATCACAAATTCTCACTATTACTAATACTTTCACTCCGAATTTACTGGAAAATTATTTTGGCTCCAAAACGAGCGATTGGGCACGGAGTGAAGTCCTTTTTGATTACGTAATTTAGTTTCCGCTTTCCGGTACGTAATTCCAAGCCTATCAAATAAGACGAAGGCGACTGAAATTTTGGTTGCGAGAAACTAGAATAGAAAACTTTATTTTCTCGGCCTGAAAATTTTGCTTCGCCATTTTTAGGTCTTCAAGTTCCACTTGAGATCCGATCGGTTTGTCTAGCCGATTAATTAGGAGTTTTTCCGGGTGATTTTTACGGGCGATTTAATCCTTTTCGTTGACGCTCGAAATTAAGAATCCATTTGCCGGAAATAATGGCCGACCATGAGACCCTTAAACAGGACTTAAACAAATAGCTTTAGCTTAATAGCCCAAGGAAAATAAATTCAAGTCTTCAGAACAGGAGCAATAATGGCTTAGGGTCTTCGTGTTCCAATTACACACTTGAATCAAGCGTTGCCGTGTCGAGAATTGCAATTTGAGGAGCTCGTAATGGGGTTCGTCTCTGAATTTATGCGCGCGAAGAGCTCAACCCCCAAACAATTTACGAGTGTTTTGGTGTTGCAGTTGTCGTACGAGGTCCAGATTGATGTCGTGATAACGTCGTAATTTAAAGCATGCGTCGTCCGGACGTACGTTACTTCGCGCGTTCATCCGATAAATGCGAACGCATTGCCTTGTTTGGACCGACGTTCTAGGACGAGAACTGCATCACAGGTGTCTAGCATTTATTTAGAAGGTATAGTGAGCATTCATGCCTGACGATTAAAAAATATTTGGTTCATTGTTATGTTTTTTTCACTTTGTTGAAAATTTTATTTTATATGAAAATTTTATGGTAAACTAATTGCTCATTGGAATTCCAAAAGAAAACACGACTCAGTTCACGAACAAATAATGTGCTTATTTATATTATTTGGCTGACCCTTGCAAAAACATGATACAATAATGATGATTAAAATGACACACATGCGTAAGATTTTATTCCCTCTAGAGAACATTTTCCGGCCTCCAGCCGTTTCAAGAGCAGTCGATTGCTCTCAGGTGCATTAAAAGAGCGGCCGCATCATCCCAGTAGCAGTGGAGAGCAGTAACTGTACGATCATATAGCCCATAATTCTTGGTGGAGTTTTTATCCGTAGTGGCAAAGTGGCACAAGGAGCACTTTTGAAACAAGGCCCATAAAGCTGAGGGTCGCGTCTGCATAATGCATCGCAGCGCTGCCCAGCGCCCCGCCCGAGCCTTGCAAGCCCCGTACCCAACGAAGGGTAAGGTTCAGCCACTAAATGTTTCTGTTCACATGAGGAGTACATTATGAAAGAAAGGACCATACACTTGCATGAGCTGGGAATGATAACAAGAAGTATGGACTCTTTATGATCAAGTTAGTGGAGACCACACTGTGGTACTGTGGGTATGCTGACGGTTATATGAAAAGGTGCTCTTAGCGCAAAATACGTGCTACGGCATTCATTTTCCCATTAATTGTTCGCCCCTAAAGTGGCGAGCAAGATGTTCTACGCAAGATGTATGACAGTGAACAGCACGCAGGCAAGGAACGCTTGCAACAGACATGATGCATGTTGCAGTGAGGAAGCATAAGTAGCAGTTAATAACAAGCTGGAATCGCGAGAGTTGCCAGTCAATAAACATAATTAATTGCAACAACGTTTGTGATTCCTTTTGTAACAACAGGCAATTCACTATCAACGTTCATCACCTCATCTGTATTCACTAATAGTTTAATTACAAGCCTCGGCGCTAATATTTCACCTTTAATTGTAAGATTGCGCTCATCGACGAGCAACTCCATTCGTTGTTTCACCTAATCATATTTCGTTAGAAAATCACGCTCCTCGGAAGCCATAAATTATACACTGTGCTGCATGACTGACCAGAATTATACCTTAGATTAAACCCTGCCTGTCAAAGTTACGATCCATTTCAGTCAAAATTGGTTTATTTTCTTGACTTACTCGAATTAATATCTTGATAACGCCAAATTAATCTCGTAAATTGATAGAGCCTACCGACATAATCCCCTCTATGTATTTCAAGCTTACAAAAGTAAATTCGGAACTTTAGAGCGTACACAGCATTCAGGGTGAAATAAATTCAATTAATTTCAAGTTTGGTGAAGCAAAGCCGACTTAAATTGCAAGTCGGCCATCAATGTAGACGTGTGAACAGTTTCGCTTTGCATTTCCTCCATCGCTGCTCATTAGATCGAGGCCGATGCACGATGTCTGTCAGACGGAAAGTTCTCAGCTTCAAGCCTAACTTATGCAGAACTTGCCAGCCAACGCTACGGAATTTAGCATAGCAAAATTTGACACGGAAATCTCGCTGATTTTCCCGGCACGTTATTGACTTATTGCAAAATATCGGCAGCATGAGAGCCCTCGCAACAACCCTCGGTATGATGCGTGAGGGCAAACATTGTGGCTATGGTGGAACTCATGGTGCGAGATCTGAGATATTGGAAGGAGCAATCAAACTTGGCCCCGAATAGGATTAAAAATTCTGTTAAGGTATTTATAATGTACGAAAATACAAAGTTTTCATTTATTATCGCTAATCATAGTTTCAACAACTAATGTAAATAATGTTGGATCAGAAAATTTTGGCGTACAACATTACCATTTTAACTTTATTTTCACTCATTGGAAAATTGAATTAAGGCGTGCACAGTGGCAAAATGAAGAACAACGAGAATATCTTGATACGATAAAAGCAATACTGCAAAGATAGGGCAAAATCATCCTCTTAATTAACCAGAGCGTTTATCTTTCTTGGCTCCCGCCAGCCTGCCAAGGTGCGTCATGCAGCACCAGGCAAGCATTACCAGCAGGAATGTTCAAAGTTACGTACAATTATAACAACTAAAACTGAATGAGATATCCGGACATTGGTCCGGTCGCTGTCGAGGGCGATACATCTGCATAAGTCGAGCTACACGCAGCAATGACGATCAAGATCGACGCTATTGCGCGGGACTATATACTATAAGGTCACGACCAGAACCTCCAAGCAGGCTCCCTCCAGAGCAAGGAAATATCTGTAACGCAGGAAACATTTCATTGTGCTATGTAGCTCCCATATTGGACACCCGACTCCGGCCAATGCGCCAATTCATCTTTGACAAAAAGTCGCGCGACTTCACCTTCTCTCCGAAGCACGAGTCATTCCGGCGCTGTCGGGAGTCTTCATGTCGGTCACTCCATCATGTCGAGCTCGGGGACAGGGCCCTTCTTTGGCAAACAGAAAGGCCCGACCGTTTTCTGTCATGGGAAGCACTCGACCAAGGACTTTTCTAACATGGATAGGGCTGAATCGTAGCTTGCTGGCTGCACTATCTGGCGCGTCAACACAACAATGGCCGGGTACTAGGAATAAATTGTTGTCACGCTCTGCATGGTGTAAAGTTTGCAATTCAGCTCAATGGGGCTATTTTTCATCCCTTAAAAAAGAGTGATACAATTGCGAGTAAAGAATAGAAGGAGATCAGGGATTTCGAGACCTCCAGGCCAAGCAAGCTGTAGAATTTTGCCTGTAGGCGGACTGAATGAAGCTGTAATATGAATTAATCAGACCTTCTGAATACTTGCTTCACGAGTATTCTGAATCTGAATATTCATGAATACATTAAATACCTTCTGAATACTTTCTCTAAAATCAATATAGTCGTGCATCATAAAAATTGCAGGAGATTCATTATTATTATTATTTATTATTATTTATTATTATTATCATTTATTATTATTATTATTACTATTATTATCATAATCGTTATTTTGTTATTTAAGTGATATATTCCCACCTGCAATAACGATTTGGGGAAGACGCTATCACTTGGACCGTATTTGTTCTTAATTCAATTATAGAAGTACATGCAGTATCATCCATATTAAAAAGTCTTGCATGCACGATAAAAAAATGTAAAGGCAAATATATGAAATAACTGCAATTCTCTGTTGATTCACAACCGCTTTCAGCAAATTACAAATTCTAGGAAAGTTATGTAACGCAATCGTACGTAAATGTATGCCCAGAGAAAAGTCGCGAACAATTTTGTTTAGAAAACTCTTCCCTACTCACATGGTAAATACAAAATATTTTCTTATTCTAGCTTGAAGGTACAGTAACTTTGAACTTTCACCTGCCCCTAATAAACTTTAGAACTTTATTTCTTTCGGAGAAGATTTGACAGAAATTTATGGCCTCTAAAGCAGCGTGGTCTCATTTTCTCAGCGCATAAAATATAAAAAATCAAGCGTGATTGTCGAATACTGAATTCTTAGGCATGCAGTCATGCCGACTATAATTTGTATAATGCATGTAATTTTCAATTCAGAAGAAATGACGTCTCCCTTACAATTAAATTTAACAAAATTAATGCAATTCAAAAACATATTATGTGATATAAATTTTTTTTGTGAAAACAGTAAGTGAAGCAAATTCAATAATTAATAAAAGGTAAATTATTGATCAGGCACTTAGCATTGCGCTAAACATTAGTGATGCATTAATAATTCATGCGAATATTAATTATTATTAAATAATAATGATTATATATGCGAATATCATAGGTTCAGAATTTTAATAGTACTTGCCGTTTAAATACAGGGTGCGGCGTGGGAACTTACTCTTTTAAAAAAATCACAAAGTAAAAAGTATTAAAGATAGCGTTTTAATTCTTTCTTTTTTACAAAGAGCTACATTTAAAGTTTCGTTGGGTTTACTTACAAGTTTAATTCTTGAACGAAAAACTTCATAGCCCGCGCACCATATTGCGCATGGCGCCACCTTCCTAGGACTAATGGCCGCCACGTGGCGCGCAATTCAAATAAGTAAGTTCCCGCGCCGCACCCTGTACTGGCGGAGTTCATAATGCGATGGCGTTCATTTTTTCTCATGTACACAATTGAATTTCAGAGGAAAACTTACAAACGATTTATAGGATTTAATGATGGTCAGTATTCGAGAAGACATGAATACTAACTTCAATGTGATGAATGAATTTTTGAATTGAATGTGTGGAAATAAGCGTGTGAAAAGTGCCAAGGAAAGTAATTATGACATATTTTGAACATAATATGCTACTTATAAGGAAAGGCCAGACATAACGCTAGTATATAAAAAAACATTGATACAAGAATTATTTTGGTAAATTCATGGCTGGAGTGAGAGATTTGGTTACTTTGTTAATTATACTAAATACTTGAATTTAAATCATGTCGTAGGTAATGAAAAAAGATAAGTATGTTGAAGCAAAGTTTGAAGGGAATTTTGTAACCTAGAAGATAGGGGTAGAGGGTAGGGTTTAGAATAGAGGTAGGGGAGGGGGAGAGAGTAGAAGTTAGAGGGTAGAAGGTAGGAGGGAGGAGTGAGGGTAGAGGTTGGGAGGTAGAGGGTAGGGTGTAGGGTGAAGAAAGTAGGAGTAGAAGGAATGGCGTAGAAGGTAAGAGGTAGGGGTTAGGGGTAAGAAAGTAGGGGGTAGAAGGTAGGATGAAGAAAGTAGGGGTAGAGGGGAGGGAATAGAAAATAGGGGTTAGAAGGTGGGGTTAGAAGGTGGGGGTAGAAGGTAGGGGGTAGAAGGTAGAGGGTAGAAGGTAGGGGGTAGAAGATAGAGGGTAGAAGGGAGGGGGTAGAAGATAAGGAGCAGGAGTTCGGGAGAAGAAAGTAGGAGGTAGAAGGTTGGGGGTAGAAAGTAGAGAGTAGACGATAATGTCCTCTCACCCCCCGCGACATGGCAGTAGAGCTGCAGCGCTTGGCCTTCATTGTAGGGCCCGATGATGGCTGCCCCCGCCCCCCGGCCGCCCCCCACCAGCTGGTCCGTCTCGTTGTACACCTCAGGAGGGTGGGGGGGAACTGTCGGGGCACAAACAATCACAACGTATAGTATTGTTATTCATAATCATAAAGTTGTTTTTATTGATTAAGCATTAATATTTTTTGGATAAATATAATACTTGCTGACACTGGAGACAGATGATGCCTGATTAAAATATTATCGATGAAATCCATATTTTACCCAGTGATCATTCATAGGTAAATTTATTTGGTCGTCGGATATATTTATTTGATATTTTTTTGATGATAGAATTCCTATTGAACAGATGAATTCATCTATTCTAATGGATGCAGAATACCATCTAAATAGAATTTGAATAGTTCTTTAAAATTTCTAATGCATTTATCGGGGCTGTATGATGTACGTAGCAATATTCATTCATCAGAATGCCAAAAGAAACATAAATTACGGCAAGTCTAATAACAACAGAGCCACGAATTCACGACAACGCAAGCACCATAAGTAATGGTGAGTCACCGAGTGTACCGTGTTGTCATTGTACAATCATGCTTTAAAATTATGGTGAATAAAGAAGCATAGCATATATTGAACATAATGCTACACATGTCTATGAAGTTTTTGAACAAGATAGTTAAGATCAAGAAACGGCGTAATGCTCATTAAATGAGAACGCGAAATTTTCTATTTTAAATAATAAAACTCCCCACCTATAATTTCTTAATTACGCATACATTAATGTACTTATTGGACTATTATACTCAATTCGGAGTAACAAGGGGAATTTATATGCCCTCTTCTCAATTTATTTTCCAAGATCCCGCTTTTAAAAAATTCTCCGCGTCAGTTTAGGCTCGTCAAGTTTCGATTTCTCGTATATATATAGTCGATGAATATATTATGCTGCTTCAGGACACTTCTTTCTGATTTAGAATATACATTCTATGTCAAAATAGAATGTATATTCTGAATTGATATAATTCTCCTGTCGAAATTCACACACATTACTTTTTTTTTCTTTAACATTCTTCATCGTATGTAGAACACGAAAGCGTTATATCCTCGGACTTTGCTTTAATCACTCCATGTCACATCGTGACCTGACCAAAGGCAAATCTGCCAGTCGAGTTCTCTCCAGCCAAGCAAAGAGATGCGCGTCTTTAGTTTCGAATGCAACCATTAGGTGAAGTTGAAACGATATCACCTCCTCCGTAGACTTAATTTAACAAGAGACATTACTTACAAGTATGGTCATAATCCTTTGCCTGCTCCTTATTCCTTCTTTTGCTCCTCTGACTCCGTCACTCAGTTTGCCTCACGCTTTAATGTCATCTTATACTATCTCTATTTATCTATTTTATATTCTTAATTTCATTGAATTATTTTTTACTCCGGTTTTCCGCACAGCCTACATCTTACCTGTACCCATGCCATTGATATTAAACAAACTTCAAATCAAACTTCTATTTACCAGGCTCGCACAACAAAAATTGTGCACAAAATCCCTTTTCCTAAAACGAAGCAAAAGATTTGGCTTCCAACGTTCGAGAAAATAACTTTTCATTCTGGAATGGTTCGTGGCGTTCCCTTAGCCATTCCTTGCCCCCTTACGCTCGGCGTTACCGACTATTGAAAGTTTCCGGCGGCACTTCGCTGCTCTATCGACCATGTGAATATGATGGCCGCATCCTGACTTCCTGCAACGCGGGAATCTTGGCTTGAATGTCTATTGCAAATTATGAACAGGCTTTATTCAGCGGCCACTCAATGACTCATGAGCATCCTTGGATGAATGATCCATCCATGATTTTTGTTCGGGTGGAAGGGTTATGTTGTTTACTGCGAATGCTAATATTACTTAATGTAACAGATTTAAATTTAATAGAGGGTATCATAAGAATTGTTATAAAATCAGCAAAAATTATTATTAAAAGTTTAGTGATACAATTGTAATCAATTAGAAAATCCTTTGCACATTTAATATTCTTCCACCCTTAAAAGATGTTGCGTTTTGCGGTTATCTACTTGCAAGCGCGTATTAAATTGATTTAATACTTACTGATTTGGCAAGTTGCAACATTTAGACCAATGATGATCAATATCGAGGACGTTTTCCAGGGTTGAAGCTATCGTTGCTAGTTTACGAAGGATGGAGGCTACCGTGACTAGTTTACGATGGATGGAGGCTACCGTGGCTAGTTTACGAGGAATGGAGGTTACCGTGGCTAGTTTACGATGGCTGGAGGCTACCTTGACTAGTTTACGAGGGATGGAGGCTACCGTGGCTAGTTTACGATGGATGGAGGCTACCGTGGCTAGTTTACGAGGAATGGAGGCTACCGTGGCTAGTTTACGAGGAATAGAGGCTACCGTGGCTAGTTTACGAGGAATGGAGGCTACCGTGGATAGTTTACGAGGAATGGAGGCTACCGTGACTAGTTTACGAGGGATGGAGGCTACCGTGACTAGTTTACGAGGGATGGAGGCTACCGTGGCTAGTTTACGAGGGATGGAGGCTACCGTGGCTAGTTTACGAGGAATGGAGGCTACCGTGGCTAGTTTACGAGGGATGGAGGCTACCGTGGATAGTTTACGAGGGATGGAGGCTACCGTGGCTAGTTTACGAGGGATGGAACCGTGGCTAGTTTACGAGGAATGGAGGCTACCGTGGCTAGTTTACGAGGAATGGAGGCTATCGTGGCTAGTTTACGAGGGATGGAGGCTACCGTGACTAGTTTACGAGGGATGGAGGCTACCGTGACTAGTTTACGAGGGATGGAGGCTACCGTATTTTGTTACAGAAGATTTTCACACAGGAGCCACTAACATTAGCGATAGTTGTGTACAGTGGCATAAGAAATTTCGTTTCGAAAACAGACAAGAAAAATAATGAAAATGAGTAAGAATTAAGAAGATTTACAGTCCCATAGCCCATCACAGTATCCCCTCAAGAGTCCCATGAAGCAACTGAAGATGTGGCCGAGCACTTTAGAGACCTTTGGTCCGATTACATCGACCAACCGCATGAGGAATTTTTTCGATAGCACTGGACAATGAAGTTTCGATTGATACTCCTTTGGCTAGACCCTAAGGCCTGGCTTCTTTAGCTAGACCTAGAGGCCGAGCTCTTTAAATTCTACCTCGAGGCAGAGCTCTCTAAGCTGGACCTCGAGTCAAAGCTCTCTAAGCTGGACCTCGAGGCAGAGCTCTTTAAATTGTACCTCGAGGCAGAGCTCTCTAAGCTGGACCTCGAGTCAGAGCTCTCTAACCTGGACCTCGAGGCAGAGCTCTTTAAGCTGGACCTCGAGGCAGAGCTCTTTAAGCTGGACCTCGAGGCTTGGCTGGTCATCGAAAAAAGCGTTATAGTTCAGGACGTGAACGCCGCGGTAAGTCTGGCGATGCAAACATTGGCATCGCAGTTAACGGATCGTAACTCCTGAAATGAGAGCTTCTAATGGCGTCTTTTATAACGAGCGAATGGCCGGAATTGCAACGTCGTTCTGGACACATCCACTTTAAAATTTTGTACCAAGGCTTAATTCCAGGAGCATATATTGAGCACAATAATTGAAATGACTCATAAATTAAAATAAATTTGCAATCAACATAGGTGAATGTACGAATTATTTTTACTTCAATATTCTTGAAATGGCGATATAAATTGTGAGCCAAAAATTGAATTAATTTTTTTGTGCATTATGACATGAATGAAAATTTTTAGAGGTTACGACGGCACAAACGGCCGTAGTAAAACGATAGTAATTTACTAATCTCGTGCTGATATCAGCAGAGATTCATCACTCATGCTTGTTAGGAGTTGAATTGAGGAAAACTGATCAATAAAAAACACCGAAGACAAATGCATGTAGCGGTTATATAAGAAAATTTATTAGTTGGTAAATAATTTAGTTGCATAGCAGTACTTCACTGAACAATGGTTTGGTGCGAGTTTCCAAAGAAAAAGACGAAAAACCCATAAAAAAATTCTGACTGAACATTGTCATCGAACTAAAGATATTCTAGAATCTTCGAGTTAATAATTAATCTAAAACTGAATTAATAAAAACCAGTCACAATCGCCATTATTAAATACTTATTTTATGAGTAAGTAACAGACGATAATCTCCAGAAACAGTTTACCGCAGATTTTTAGTGCTCTTACTACTAAGCAATTAACACGTACGACTCTCATATTGAACATTCACTTGATAATACGACAGTTTCTAGAAAATATCGGCTGGATTTTACGGGTGCTGTTCAATTTTGATGATACTAATAAAGATGAAATTTTTATCCCTAACAGAAAGGAAAATCTGTCTTTTATAGGCTGGCTTAGACTGAGATCGAACATGGCTTCATATTCGATTACATGACATAATGTTATCAGAACAAGTTTAGAAGCTCTGGGAAATCTTGCTTGAACCAAGTTATGTACCATGTTCTGAACTTTATGGATGATAAAGGAAAGAACCTTGATTGAATGAATCTGATTCTAAACTAACTTTTTACATATTAATATTTACATGCAATGGAGAAAACATGTGATCCATTGTCAACGTCTGAAATTACAAAACATTAATATTTGGCTCTGGTTCTTTGGTACACGACTTGGTAGCCGTGCTTTTTATGTATCGTACATATTTATATAATATATTATATAAATGAATAGAAATATTTGCACTAATCGCAAGTAGTAATTAACATTTGTTTACCCGCATCTCCGTCGGTCAAGGCAGTGCTAAAGTTATCGCATCACTCTGTTCCCTCGTCACTCTGGTTCCCTCATCACTCTGGTTCTCTCATCACTCTGTTCCCTCGTCACTCTGGTTCCCTCATCACTCTGGTTCCCTTATCCCTCTGGTTCTCTCATCACTCTGTTCCCTCATCACTCTGGTTCCCTCATCACTCTGGCTCCCTCATCACTCTGGTTCTCTCATCACTCTGTTCCCTCATCACTCTGGTTCCCTCATCACTCTGGCTCCCTCATNAGTGATGCCCTGGACAGAGGCCGAGGGGAAGGAAGTGATGCCCTGGACAGAGGCCGAGGGGAAGGAAGTGA